CATGGCATCCCTTGCTAGGCCTATCTACCCAGCCCAGCCCCAGTAAGGAAAAAAGAAACCCAAACCCAACCCACCACTATTAAAGTTATATATATATATATCTGACCGGATTTGAAAGAACGTGGCCCCGGGAACTAAATTGCACTCAAAACTCGACAACTACCCACCCACCCCCCCAGCCTTCCAGATTGGCACATGAGCTGCAGACACGGCATGCGCAACTGCAGGACTGACCAATCTCTGCAGGGAAGGCAATCCCTGCTCATAACATAAGCGCAACTAGTCACTGGACCGGCAGCGACACAGTAGTAACTGGGAACAATGGAAACAAAACAACCGCCCAGTGAAGTGTCCAAAACACCCCCTGCTTACCCTCCTGCTTTGGACACCTGGTCGGCGGCAAACCACCAGCTGATAGCCATACCCCCGGGCTACGTCACAGTGCCAACAAAGACGTCAGCCCCCCTCCATTTGGAACAGATATCAAGTCCAAAAAGGCTCCCGGTTGCCCAAAGATGGACAGCCGGTGGCCAAAGAGCCCGGCCGCAGCTGCCGGGTGTGTCTGGGTGCAAACTGACCCCTCGTTTGTCCCAGATAATTATCAAGCCCAAAAAGGCTCCCGGTTGCCCAAAGATGGACAGCTGGTGGCCAAAGAGCCCGGCCGCAGCTGCCGGGTGTGTCTGGGTGCAAACCGACCCCTCGTTTGTCCCAGATATCTGACCGGATTTGAAAGAACGTGGCCCCGGGAACTAAATTGCACTCAAAACTCGACAACTACAACTCCAACTACAACTCGTGAATGTCAAACGCGACTAGAATCCGTTGGGTTCTGTATATAGATTATTTGTAACTTGGCGGTTACTTTATGGTGTTTATTTTCTGTAAAGTGGTGTACCATTGGTAAATATTAAACAATTAGTATATACCAACTCGGCGACTTTGGCGTTTTAAGCAATCTGATTGGTCCGCTATCTCGGGATATTCAATTTTGCTATATTTATTTTGATTTTACATACGTAAAAAGTATGTTCACAAACTGTTAGGTAGTAAACGTTTATTAAATACGTCGCGCTACTCACGTGGATTGTAAATCTTGTACATCTTTATTCAAATAAAACGAGCATCAAACAATGAAAGAAGAAGAACAATTAGTGTACCTTTGAGGACTGGTCGACTAGAGGGTCAGTTTTAAAGCTGTTCGTAGAAATTAATGTCGTACTCTTGAGTCGAACTACTGAAGTGCCCTTTGATCCCTGTCTGTTGTAAATATCCACTTCTGCATCAACTGCCATTCACTATAACATTGCTGGTATTAGCCAGGCAGCTATTCTTGAGCAAATTTCCGTTGGAGAAAACTTCAATTTGTCTTCTCATCTGATCCAGCACTACACATTTGAGTGCGGTTAGCACTAGACACCAGTCAAATTAAGCCCCAATGGGGAGGGTCACGCTACTTTTGATCGACGGAACAATAATGTCGCACGATCAAAAGTAGCGTGACCCTCCTCATTGGGGCTTAATTTGACTGGTGTCTAGTGCTAACCGCGCTCAAGCGGGACGATTGGATATATTTTGAAACGCTATATGGTTTTGTAGAGCGGCTAATTCCTTTGGATAACGAGGTATGTCCAATTGGTTTTCCCAAAAACATTTGTGTGTCATGCTATTATCGAGGCGTTAACTCAAAATGGGAGCCTAACCTATTTTGGTGCGGAAATTCGAGCGAAAGTAGATTATTCCGATTATTCAGGCAGAAAACTCCTTCCTTGTCAATATATTATACATGGTAAAGTAACTAGAACTAAAATCGCTCAAAATTGCGTTTAAACAGGTACATAAGGATAGCAAACAACACCATGTAATGTTTCCTGAACTTTATTCAGTAATTTCAATTTTATTTATTGCTCAAAATGTTGCGTTTGAAATCCCATACAAAGTCTTATATTTGTAAATACATGATATGCAAATATTATGCTTGGGTTTCCTATGGCTGTAGCACATGTACTAATGCTTTTGTTTCACGCTGCAGAAATATTTTCTCGGCGGCGTGAAAGATCAGGCCAAAAATCCGCCAGCGCTGTGTTTGCAGGCTACACGCGTACAGCTCTACGCAGCGAGCTTGAAAAAGTTTCCCGGGTTAGAAAACAATGAAGTTTTGGTTGACGTCATTTCTTAGCAATGGCTTGATTGACACAGGATTCGCACTGTTGGTCTGTTGCCCGGCACCGCTATGTCCTCAAAGAAAAGTGCCGGCTTTCTATCCCCCCCTGACAGGTATAACATTTTCGAATCAGTTATTTAAAAAGAGAAATAAAATGGCCACTTTTCTTTGTATGCAATAATTGTATTGCAATAATTATTCCCCCTTGGCAAAGGGGGAACACATTTGAGCCCCCTTCAAAAGTCAACTGCCCTACCCCATTTATCCACCACCCCCACCCGTTCCCCCATCCACACACACAGACGACCATAATATAACTGACCCATAAAAATACAAGTTTCCCAAGAATGATCTCCTTTTTAATAAATGTACATGTATTGAACAATATTTGCAATTATCCACTAAGCATAATATTTTAAGTTCTTCACTAAACAGAATATTCACTCCTCTTACTAAATATCATAGTTACAATTCTAGACTGATACATGTATAGGGATCTGTACAGTTGAATCCCGCTGGACAATGGTTTTGGTCACTAGCTCATATATTTTATCGTAAAATTGACCCGCTTTTAAAATACGGAAATCTCGTTAATACGAAATACATTTACACGGAGATCTACATAAATTCGATTTAGCATAATCACATCGGCCGGTCACATCTCGTAATTGTTTTTTCTGAAACTTCAATGTTGGTTTTTAACTTCAACAAACAGTAACATACCATGGACCGGGTTTCTAAAGCCGATTAACGCTAATCCAAGATTAAAAGTCAATCGAGGCTGTAATTTCTCTTGTAATAAAGTGTTTTTCATTGCTAATGTTTTGTAGAGTTTGAGGTTACTCAAAGTCAAAACTAAAGGACAAAAATTATAAACAGAAAAGTTACAAAACTGAAATCAATATTCAAGCTAATCCTGGATTAGTTTAATCGTCCTTTGAACAACCGCGCCCAGTAGAATAGGCGTTTTCTTTTTCTCACACTACACAGGAATCATACGTTACTAAATACAAACATATCATGACAAATCCTTTGCGGTTAATTTTAACGACATTTTATCGAAAATCCAAAGTTTACTATCAGGCTATCCTCGAAAAATTAAAACATCCACTCTTCATTTGCAATCGATAAAGGAAAATCATGGCAAAATTAATCGAACTAATCAAAAAGAAAAAAAATTAAAATTGGTACTATTGGTACATAAAGCAGTAAGCTGGCCGTGAAGTGGCAAATCTTCTGGGTTTGAACGGTTGGGAGCCCTGCGGAATATTTGTGATACACCTGCTCTGAATCCTGGCATCCGCAGGGCGTAGATTATGGGATTCACTAGCGAGTTGGCCAAGAATAACATTACCATTGTCATGGTAATATGAAAGTTTGACCTCGAGCCGGAAAGGTTTAAGATTGACTGAGTAGATAAACCTGTTGATATACATAGGTATATTATTACTGGCAGCAAACTCATTACAGATCCAAGCGTAACAACAAACAATGTACCAGTCAGTTTTCTTTCTCTGTTAGTTGCACCATGGTGCTGAAGATGAGGGTCGCATCGAACTTTGATAACAATAGAAACATAAGAAGCACAAATAACGAAAAGGGAAATTAAATAAAAAGGAATATACAAAGTAAACGTAATGAAATTTCTCAAACTTCCTGTTTCTACTAACACAATTTGAACCGATTCCCTGGCTGTAGTTGTTAACCAAATGGCAGCGATCATTATTCCATAAACGCGTTTCTTGATGACACGATGCCTGAATGGACGAAGTGTTGCATGCAGTCGTTCTAATGAAATAACAGCGAGATTAACAAGAGATGAAAAAGAAAATAAATGCCTTAAAGTATATTTTAGATGGAATGACCAAGTAATATTCCAATTGAAGTTCCACAGATCACAGAATGGTGCCACGCGAAATTCAATCTGCAGCGGCCCAGATACTGCCCCAGCTAAAAGGTCGACTATCGCCAGATGGATGATGAAGTATGTACTCCGGCGCTGTAGCTGGCGCTGCTTCACAAATACAATAATGGTGATGATATTAAGGATGACTATGGCCAGACATTCAGTGATCAGTACAACAAGCCATGGAATGCACTCTGATGCAGGAAGGGGAGACATCATCTTCTCGTAGCTGCTGTTAGAAGTACTGTTGCTAGTGTCGGTAACCATTGAGCTTCTGTTCATATTCGCAAGCGCCAAATCACCTAAATATTAGAAGAAAGGGTTCATAGTATCGAGTTAAAATTATTCCCGGCATTACTACGCCATTGTGCTAGTTACATTGATGTGCACTCGTTTTACGTCAAATGAAAAAAAAACAATCAACGTCAGCCCATCGATCAACGCAACTGTTTTCTTCTCGTAGCTGCTGTCAGAAGTATCGTGCTGATGACTGTTATGTTTCTCCTGCATGGCTCGGATTTAACCATAAAACACTCGGAATAAACCTTGATATAACTCAACGGTTTTAATGGCTACGCATGCGCTAATGGGGTAAGACCGTAAGACACTACAATGACGTTAGCCATTGAGCTTCTGTTGGTATTTGCAAAACACTAAATCACCTAAATTTGAAGAGAGACGGTTACTTAATATATCGATGCCGTTACAAGAAGCATGTATAAATCGTAGGTAAAGCCGCACTCGTGCCAACAACTGGCCCACACTGCCGGAGCTTATCCCGGTTTCCGTGGCATGGAGCCAACTAGGAGTATTGCTACTCCTCCTGGATTGGATGCTAGTCCATCGCAGCTTACCCCCGAGCATTCTGTATACTGCTGGGTGGAGATATAGAGGCACTGTGAGAGGAAAATGTCTTGCTCAAGAACACAACAATGACCCCGGCCAGCTCTCGAACCCGAACTGCTCGATTCAGAGTCCAACGCGCTAACCATTAGGCCACCGCGGCTCCTGCCGTATTCTCTACCAAAATATTTTCCAGATTAAATCTACTCGGATGTTTGTTTCTCTCTCTCACCTAAAACCGTTTTTTGTGTCTATAGGTTTGACTGAAATGTGATTGAAAAACTTAAATCAATTTTGTTTTTAATATTTTCGATCCTGTAACCCTAACGTCTGTAACCCTAACGTCTTCGCGATCTTCTTTCGGTTTTCTATAAAACATTCCTTTGATTGCAATAAAATCTGCTATCTGTAGCACCAGGCATTAATTAAACTGGTCACGTCTGGTACGGTGTACAGTACGAAGGTTTTTTACGGACAAAATATCGAATGTGCATACAATCAAGGTTATGTTGCATCAAGGTTACGTTGCATGCACTTCGAGGGAATCGGAGGAGAATTCGAAAGGGATCTTGATTCGTTTGAGGAGTCGGCTACTTAACCCATTTTATCGGGAACGAGGTACGGGGAAGATGGAAGACTTCTTCTCCTCTGTCCCCCTATCCGCGTCGACCAGAAATTGGTCAGTGTTATGTTATGTAGTTATCAGCATTTGGCGAACATGGCAGTCAAGATCTTCGTCAGATATGTCACTAAATTCCATAGCCTGCGTATCTGGCGGTCGTATTGGCCCGCGAAGGCAAAATTCGTAAGCGGCGAAGCCACTGTCGCGAGCGACGGAGCCGCGAGTGTCTGGGTCGACCAGACCCTTCCGTCCCAGACTCTCGCGGCTCCGCCGCTCGCGAAAGCGTCTTCACGACAAAGGCGGGTTCTCTCTGAAATGTCGTCAGCCCATCGAAACCCTGCTTCCCCATGTAAAATTTCCAACTGCTCTTGAGCAAGTTGTAACCGTGGCCTTCCATCTTCCTCGTAGCCGACTCCTGAAAAGAATCAAAATCCCTTTCGGAATCTCAGTCTGCGATTCCCTCGAAGTGGCATCGTAGCTCGCTCAAGATACCTAGTAGTTGATGTAAGTAGCCGATTCTTCAATTTTCGTAGTTAAAACACGTAAAGTTGTTTCGTATTCTTCCAGTCTACGAATATAGAACTCTTAAGAATCGAATTGAGTGGCTGCGGTATTTTGTTTTGCTGCGCACTCGTTATTATTCCAGCTGGCCTAACTTTAATACGGTCTTAAGACCGATAAAAGAAAAAACGAAAAAAATGATATACGAAAAACAATAATTACGATGTAAACTGTCAGTTTTTCTTATTCTTGACTGTTCAGTTGAACGACCTTATTTGTAGTAAAGCTTCCTATGTGGATAACTAACTTCACAAAAAGCCGATAAAAAGCCGATAAATTCTCCTTCCCAATATTCTCAATTTGTTTTTATTCCAAATCATCATCTACACGATCTGTTTGTTATAATGTATTGATCTACCTTTCAGTCTCCTGCAGCTTGCTTTTGGCTCCTTCTGCCCTGGCGACATGCAGGTACTCTGAGTAAAGATTGTAAGGTAAAAATAAGGCATATATATACATAATTATATAACTAAAAGCTATTTATAAGCACTACAGAATGTGGTCCTAATTCCGGCCAGAAAAGATACGAATGTGTAATTCTCGCATTGGAAGAACTTGCCTTGAGCTGAAACTTGACCTGTGACTTGTCACGGCAACAGCTTTTGTTCTTTATCGATAATCTTGTAGTGGTTCGCTTCGGCGGCCCTAATTCCGGCCACAACGAAAATCATACAAATGTACGCATAAACAGTTCACAGACCAACCTGGTACAGCTTCTTTCCGTGACTTTAATCATCTTTCATCCATATCGATAAATGAAAAGGCGAATTATACAAAGAGAGCTTTGTTTTAGGATCGGAATAAGTGCACGGTCGCTCTGCGGCGCGGGCCATGCCGGGAAAGTCTGACAATTTTTTTTGTCTGGCAGAAAGACCATTCATTATATGTATTTCATACCAAACATTAGCGCTATTAATGGGCATATAAAGACAAACGGGGATTCTAAATATAACCATGTAATTCGGAGGCGCCGTAAACTAATGAATGTCGGACAAAACAAATTAACCTACCTTCGCGATAACTCGAAATTATCTTCTTTAACAGCAACAGGAAAATCACCAAGCAAGATTACGAAAGGAAATAGATCAATTAATCTTAGGAAAGAGTAGTTTCTTATTTAAGTTCGTTTTCCGCCGGAATTAGGGCCAGCCGGAATTAGGACCACATACTGAGGTTTAACAAATGCGTACTACAAATTACGATATAACCATATTATAAACAAAAAAGAGAGGATCATGATCCTCTCTTGAAACAAATTAACTTGAGAGAACAAAGTCTTTCTTACGTCAGAAACGTTTTCCTTCTCTTTGATTAAAACTTCAACAAAACAGAAAGGTAAAATAGATTTAAGATGGCCTTAAGTATTTTCTACTCAACGGACAATTTCTCTTGATACTTTGAACTTTTCTTGTAGCTACAGCTGCAAAAGATGCATTACAAAACGGAGATACAATATTGTTTTTAAACAAAATCCCTCGTATATACCTAGCATGTCAATGTACTTGTTGCTACACCGAGCTTGGCAGATAGTTTCTTTGTTCATTTCCACAGTAGTACTACATACACAGACATATAAATAAAATTTATTTATTTATTTACTGATGTTATTTTTCTAATTTTATTCCTTTGAACTGACTCATTTCTTGATACGGAAGTTATCTTAGTTTAAAGTTGTTCAATAGTAAAGCAGTTGATCAGTTAATATTTATTTGACATCCCGTTTGATGTATTACCCGCTAGTACTGATGCATTCAAAGCTACCGCATTGTCTGCTATCAGATCTTTTGTATGATTTCGTTTAATTTAGTTTTATATTTATGTATATATATTTCTTAGCATAGTATATATCTCCTAGTATAGATTTTTAGCTGATATAGGAGTAACTGATTAAAGATTAAAGATTAAAGATCATGTACCTTAGATATTCAAGGAAATGTACTTCTGATGCTTCCTATCTCGAAGAGAGAGGTTGTTTTCTTCGGCAAGCTTTCCAGCGTTGATTATATCAAACAACTTAACCAGCTGAAGACAGTCGATACACCAAATAATGAGATTTTTATATCAAATAAACTATGAAGGGCTTGCTAATTTTTGGATGTCATAAAATTTATTATTAACTCAAAACAAGATGATATATATTTAATAAAAATTGTCAAACATGTGCCTTTTGGTCTAGTGAATCCGAAAGAATTGTTGAACAAGTCGTATAAGGAGACTGACCGGACGTAAACTGAATATTTGTCTTGGGTTCATAACGGCCTACAGCTGCAGAGCGCTTGTTCGCAAGTTATCTGCTTTTTATTGATAACAACATTGTGAATACCTTTTCATATTTGCATAACAATGCAGTCGAACATCGAGACCCAGCCAAACTCACGCAACATTTCAACGCAACATACACAACATGTTGGACATGTTTGGCCACCCTGTTGCAATATGTTGTAGCATGTTGGATGGTGTTGGATCAAGTTTGAAAATGTTCACATTTTTCGTGCAACAATTTTGGATGTCGCATGATGTAACACTCGTTTGGCCACGTTCGTGCAACAATTACATTGTTGCACCGGAGCATGCGCACTATTTGATTTGCTATGGTTCTTGAAGTGAATACTTAACAAATGGTATGCAAAACATCAATTGTTTATTATAAGTTTTATTTGTGTGGTTTAATTGACTACACAACTCGGTTTTTTTTTTGTCCGGTAACCTGAGTGCTATTATTTGCATAAATTAACAGTTTCACCAGTGGATGTGCTAATTTCACAACATTTTTTTCTTTAAGTCGCTTAAATGTAAGCTGTAAAAGTGAAATATTTTCAAATTATCGATGATAGAGAAACAGTGCAGTTGTAAGTTGCTACAAATAGCATTATTAAGACCCAGAAAGTTGGCATTAAAAATGACGGGAGATTAACACTTTGCTGTGGGTTTGAATTGTAAATTATGTGTTCTGCAAAAAAAAAAAAGGGGCCCGGCCGGCTCGCGGACTTTTCATTACCAAAAGATTAAAAAAGGACGAAATATTCATTTCCAACTTCAAATTTGATTAAAATATGAATACCAGTTTGATTTTATTTTAGCCAAAGATGTCTCATTTTCAGTTTTTTAAAAAGGTGGCCCCCGCCCTTACGAAGGACAGGGAGCTAGGGGTCCCCCAGGGAGCAAACTGAAAATCCGGTGCCAGTTTTGTTGAGTGAAAGGATGATATTATACTAGGATGTCAGCAGAATTTTAACCAGTTTTTTTGCATTTTGAGAGGATTAGTTAACAAAATCTCAGTTTTCAGGGTTAAAAATACCTCAAAAATACATTTTTGGGCATGAACTTTCCCACCTGATCCCAAGTGCAGGTTAGTGCAGGAAGTTAAACAAATATCATCATGAATGTTTCCACCCAAAGGACTAACTACACACAAAATATCAAGGGAAGTTTTTTTTTACCATTTCCAATTTGGCTCAATCCTTAGCGACACTCGCTCTTAAAACATTAACCATTTGTGTTGTGGTGCATCAGAAAATATTTGTGCCAGTAAATGTGTAGCTTTAATAGTACATTTTCAGTACTACTTATCATCAGTTGTATAAAAGCCTTAGTGGATAAATCTCGTATAACAAAGCACCAAAAGCTGCAAATCCTTTCAATATCTCGAAGGAAAACAATTTCATGAACGTACTGTTTGTTAGTAAAATTAAAACTTCTTATCTTAATTAAATTCAATTGAAAGTGCCAGTCAGTTACGTTTTGATTTCGATATCCACGTTTTTATTTCAGCAAATTTGCACCAAACTGCTGGAAATAAATTCGATATATTTAAATTCCTTTTATTCAACACAGGTATTTATCCACTGAGAAACAAAGCATGAACACTTGACCCAAAAACATGATCTAATTGGGTGTCAAACGTGGCGTGATTGGTCTTAAAATATTCCAAGTTTGAAGCGATGTAATTTCAAAAAGTTGTAATCCCAAAAAGTTAAAGG